TTAGAATTTAAAGGTTTTAAATCAGCAACAAATAACCTTTAAAATATCTTTCTTTACAACCGTAGTATTTTTACATAATAACAAAAAACAATGGAGAGTTTTGACAATAAAGATCTTATATTAGAGCTGGAAACTTTGTTTACATTAAGGGATAAAATGAATCTAGGTTTAATTTTATTTTATAATCTAACAATAATTTTGATGTAGAATTTGATTTTCGAAATCTTTTTTTAATTTTTTTTTTACTTTATTTAGTCTTAAAAATATTCATGCACTCGACATTGTTGCGTAAAGGGCGCTACTCAGTACGTCCCCAATATATAGACACCGTCATCTTACTCCTACAGTTAACTACTCAGTTCGTCTCTAATATCCGCAATAAAGGTTAAATGATTATAATAATCAACTCACAAATAAAGGTTAAACGATTATAATAATCAACTCACAAATAAAGGTTAAACGATTCTAATAATCAACTCACAAATAAAGGTTAAACGATTATAATAATCAACTCACAAATAAAGGTTAAACGATTCTAATAATCAACTCACAAATAAAGGTTAAACGATTCTAATAATCAACTCACAAATAAAGGTTAAACGATTCTAATAATCAACTCACAAATAAAGGTTAAACGATTCTAATAATCAACTCACAAATAAAGGTTAAACGATTCTAATAATCAACTCACAAATAAAGGTCAAAAAGATTATAAAAATCAACTCACAAATAAAGGTTAAACGATTATAATAATCCAACTCACAAATAAAGGTCAAAAAGATTATGATAATCAACTCACAAAAAAGGTTAAAAAGATTATAATAATCAATTCACAAATAAAGGTTAAAAAGATTATAATAATCAACTTACAAATAAAGGTTAAAAATTTCAAAATATTCAACTCACAAATAAAGGTTAAAAAGAGTATAATAATCAACCTATAAAATATAGGTTAAAAACATAATAATCAACCTATAAATAAAAGCAAAAAAAGATTATAATAATCAACCTATCAATAAAGACTAAAAATTGATTATAATAATCAACCAATTTTAAATTAAAATATGTCATAATAATTAATCTGCAAATAAATTTAAGGTTTTAAACAATTATTATAATAAACACAAATAAACGTTAAAAAAATAATAGGCCATTAGTTGAAAACATATTTTTCTGACAAGTCGACATAAGTTACTGACAAGTTGACATAAGTTACTGACAAGTTGACATAAGTTACTGACAAGTCAACATAAGACGATTAGTATCTGTCAGGACAAATTGATATCTTATCTGATAAGTCAACATAATTTTCAGCCGTTAAACGATTGCCACCACAACAAAAAGTACTGGCAATTTTCCTAGAGCAGAGGAGTACCTGTACCATCATAAAGATGCGACACTGCAGACGGTGAGCGTCATCGCATATTTTTTAGACACTTGTTTTACGTTTTACCAAATTGTAATAATAATTTAATTTCATTTATTTATATGTTATTCGGAATTTTAATTTGGATCTTCTAGTCCTGGTATTATTTTAAATGTATAGGCTTATTTAGAATTTCAGATCCGTTTCTTTGCTACATCTAGCATCAGGATGTCCATCCGTCTGGTACGCTTTGGCATACCCATCTTTTGTCCGGAACTCAACTTATACCACTGATTGATTTTTATTGAAATACACAGATTCTATGTTACATAGTGTCATTGTGCTATTTTACTTTTGAATGGACATAATTTTCGGATTTCCCATAACAAAACATGGACACTGCCATTCTTTCTATAATATTGAAGGGTATCCATCTAGCATTTGCAAAAAAAAGGTTCTTTCACAACTACTTTATTATGCATAATGGCATTGAGCACATTTTATTATTTTTTTGTTCTAACACTCTTTTCATGTCTCTCAAAAATATGGAGTTTGCTATTATGATGACATGGGAGGGTAAATCAAACTGTATAGCTTAATAGAGAGATTAATTGTGCTGGACCCCTTTTGAAAACAAGTAGATAACAGCAAGTGACGTAAAAACATGATCATATCAATTTCTTGGTTGAGATTATTTTATCTCGTAATCTGAAGTCATCACTAATCATCTGACAAGTTGACATATATCTAACAAGTCAACAGAAATAAACAAATGGTGACAGAAAAATGCCACCATACAAGAGGGCTTGATCAATACTACTGTTTGAGTTCCTGCAGATCTGTAGTTCTCCGGAAAAAATATTTTGACACACTGGATCGAGAGCTACAGTGTCACGAATTGTAAAAAAACTGTAAATTTACTGCGCACAAAAAGTGGATTAAAAATTCTTACCTCAATCTTGAAAGAAATAGTTTTATAGAAAAAAATCTTTCTCCTTTAACATTATGAAGTACTCTCTTAGTTGACATCTAAACAAAGTGCCTTGGACCGAATTATTTTGCACACCAAAATGGCAGTATTAACAGACGACGTTTTGATGATCTCAGTTTCGGAGCCAGCCCCAGGACTATTAACAACAATTACACATGTATAAGGGTTTTCCTGTACTATTGTTCAAGGCCCTTCCCATTTAGGATTTATTTTTGTAACTTGTTTAACCTAAACAATGGTCTACGGGGTTTCCTTTAGTATCTTTCAAGACCCTTCCCATTTATAGGTTTTAATTAGATTCTCTCGCAAGAGTTTGTGAGTTTACTTCCAACCAAAATGAATGGTATAGGGGTTTTCCTCTACTATTGTTCAAGGCCCTTCCCATTTAGGATTTATTTTTGTAACGTGCTTAACCTACACAAATGATCAACAGGGTTTCCTTTACTATCCTTCAAGGCCATTTCCATTTGTAGGTTTTTTTTCTCTTAATTTCGTCTCATAAATTTAACTTTAAGAACACTTCATCTCTTATTTTGCAAGTCCATTTTATTTCCTTATAAGCATCAACAATCTTATTATCAGGTAATTTATGAAACATTGCCCATGTAAAAATATCAACAACATAAGAACATTCTAAATACCGTCATCTGAAAATTTTCTTGCAAAACAAAGGTAGGCATTTTGAAAAAAAATGCTATCCTACCTGTACTGTCATTTTTTTTCAAAGTCTTACTCATAGGACTCAACATTAAATTGTCCAATCATTGAATAATTTGTCTTGAAATCGGTACTTGGAATCGAAAGCAGGGGCTTTGGCACACAACTAAAGTCATTATTTAAAAAAAAATATGAAATTGTTCGTTTTCCTGGCCACCAAAGGATGGGCCGGTATTGTAGTTTTTAGTTCGTTTGGGATGTTGCACCACACTTGCGGTTGACAAGAGTTTATTAAAATGTATAAGTCCTAGTTGGTTCTAACCAGGATCGAGTGTCAGGTCCGTTGGATTCGTCGATCGTCTGACGGCTCTGGTCCGTGTCTCGCCTGAATTCGAGTCCTCTGTCCGAAAATCCAGCGGGATTGTGCACTAATCCTCGTCGGGGGGGGGGGGTGACTTAGAGAATTGTCAAAGGCTAATTCCCTTTACATCTGAGTATCGTTTAAATTTGCTAAGTCATCAATATCTTACCATTTCTTTGCGACTTAAAGACGGGAGGGGGGGGGGGCTAAGGCTTCTGGACCTCCTCTGACAAAACAACCTTGACTGTGTTCTGCATATGTCCAAGAGACCTCTCCCTTCGCAATCATTGAATTAAATGTTAATGCAAAGTTTTTTGCTATATGTATTTAATATCACTGTCGGTTAAACTCGTTTATATAATTAAGAAATAACTGTCTTATTTTTCGATTTCATGATGTGATCAATCGATTGGATTGCGTGATAATTTGCACAAACGTAAAAGGCGTTTATGCATAAAATTATCACGCAAGCCAATCGATTCATCATCGCCATGAAATTGAAAAATAAGGTAGTTATTCCTTATATTTACATGCTTTGATTCTGCCAATCCACGTGCTCTAAGCCCTGCTTCTGACTAGCTGTTTGTCCCGCCCTGCACGTGTTTTTTTATTATTTTTTTTTTGAAAATGCGGCAATACATTGATGGGGAAACAAAGTACATTTACAATTTGTAATTTTATTTGGGACAAAGACATTGTTAATGTAAATATTCTTAATTAAAGGGAAGATTTATTCATCAAATAAAAATTATGTACTAGGTAAATTAAAAGCAACCTGTTATTTTCTAACACAATATGATCATACTACAAGTAACTCAAATTCATGTTTATTTTTTTTAACACATTTCTTAATTATAGATGAGTATTAGGAAAAGTTATTGCCATGAGTAATAAGTATCACAGATAAAATAACTAAAACAAACTGTGAAATATTGTCTAGAACCAATCAGATTAAGTGCGTTGTATAGCATATTATAATGCGGTTTTAAGATAGCAATATAAAAATAATGAGTAAAAAAAGACAACAGAAGGTAAAATCTACCCTGTCTATCAAATGGTATAATAAAGAAAGGAAGTAGCTACAATTTCTATAAAATTTTAGTGTCCGATGAGGAATTATATTCCCAAAAAGTAAGACAAGAGTTTCCAAGGCAATTGGACACTCCATTATTTCAGTGTGTTCATTAACATGTTCATAAACGTAAATTTGATATTCGTATATTTGAATATGACTGTACCTCGATCGATATTGAGAAATTCAATGTCTTATAACCTCATGAAAAGATGTACACATTTGACTTTTATATATTTTTTTACCCACCCACCCCCTCCAAAAAAAAAAACAGTCAAGAAAATCCTGTTTGCATGACTTTTCGCTCTCATATTTTACTAGGTATTCATGTGATGCATTCATTAACAGCAAATTTATTTTACAAGAAAACATCTTACTTGGACGTTAACTTACTTGGAAGTGTTATAAATAGAAAACAGAACCCTACATCACCACTCGGGTATAGTCTTATAAATTGACTTTGTGATCCTGCATCACCACTCAGGTGTAGTGTTATAAATAGAACATGACGCCCTAAATCACAACTAAGATAAAGTATAATAAATCAGAAAACAACATTCTATTTCATTTTATTCTTACAACTGTATACCGTATACATGCATCACTTTTTATGTGCAGGTCTACTATAATGGTATACATTTTAAATTCATCACATCACCACTCAGATATAGAGTAAAAAAAAGAACACGACACCTTACATCACCACTCATGTATAGTACTAGTATTATAAATAGAACATAGCACACTACAACAACTCGAAGGCAATGTAAAATTTATCAATAAATTGATGAAACACTCTTCCCTATTATGTTTTGTTATTAGTTTGGCAGAAGAATATCCTTTGAGAATCTCACCAACAACATGAACAGTTACAACAGTGACAGGGAATTTTATGAATTAATTCTTGTTTAATCATATAAAACATATTTTTGTTAGAATACATATATATAAGAGAATTAGTTATTTGAAATATGGAAAGAGTATTTTTCATCATTAGAAAAACATCATATTATCATGTATTTGATTCCTGTTAAATGTTCTTTGAGACATTAATGACACCGTTAAAATTTTAGCTCCTGTATAACAAGATTTTTTTGTAGTATAATGCATTTTAAAAGGATTTAATTTCTTCAAGTTTTTTTCTTCATTCCGCCAAAGAAATATTTTTTTAAATTACGAACAGTGTGTGTGTACAAATTGTTTACATATATTTTATTTTCTTCACTTGACCAATGGGACACTCGGCCACAAAAAGGTTGTCTCTGCTGTCTACACATAAACCACATGGAAAACGTAGACAACAGTTATCAATGTAACGGAGAAACTGTCCATCTTGATCTAGGATGTAGATACAGTCATTGTCAATATCTGATGTCAAGATCAGACTCTGACTGTCTGTTGTGATGCCATATGGATAGAATGATCCCTTCGTAGTAGAGGCATGACCCGTGTATCTAAATCGGAGTTCTCCTGCCTGATTAACCACAACTACTGTCTTGGCTTCACGGTCAGCCACACAGATATCTAGGTTCCTGTTCTCACTGATGTATTTAATTTTGCTAAAGTAGCCAGATGAATACAGAGGTTTACCTTCACTATCAAACTGAATGGTTTGTTTCTCTGTGGAGCCAGAGTAACGGACAACTTTTGATTGTTTTCTATTATCAATGACCATAGTAACCAGGAGGTCACCAGAGGAGGTACTACAGACATTACAGGGTATCCACCCCTGTAGTCGGATCACTTCCTGTATCTGTTTACTCTTCACTATGTGTACAGTTCTTGTTTCAGAGTCAGTATAAACTAGATCTCCAATCCTTGTCACTGCTATGTCACTAAGTTCATTCCCAGACTTGGTTTGGATTGATTTCAGTAGTCTACCTTTCAGGTCGTAAAGTTTTATGATGTCGGCTTTACCAGATGTCCAGATTTCTTCATCACTAAGACAGGAAACACTGTATAGTTTGTCATACCCAGTGTCTATGGTGGTGATGAGCTCTGGTTCATCAAGCAGTGATTTTACTGGAGGAGAAGATACAGCTTCTGGTGTCTTCATTTTGTAGCCGTGTTCTTCTGTTGTAATGGATAATGCTGCCAGAGAACCAAACATTTGATGGAGCTGTTCTGTGTTGATTTGATGAGGTAGGAATTTTGGTAATGAAACACTGATTTTAGGAGGTAAATTTCTGAATTCAGCATTCCTGGATTTGTATGCAGAAGTTAGGGAGACGTCTTTGGAGTCCAGTATTTTCTTTAAATCAACTATACACTGTTTTACATCAGAAGATATCTGTTTCATTTCATTTTCCTGTTTATTCAGAACTGCCAGGTGTTTAGTTTTCATCTCATGAATTTCAGATGTTTGTCTGTTTACAATAATTTTAATTTCTCTATGCCAGTCTTCTCCTTGTTTGGTGACAGCTGTTGTCAAGTTCTCATAATGTTTTTCCAAGTTGACTTTTTCAAACTTTAAATTTGTTGTAATTTCTTCATATGTAGGATGGATTTTTTTCTTAAGTTCATGTAAGTCATTCTGTAAATCATTTGTTTTTGAAGTTTGTTTCTGCAGTGCATCAAATAAATCGTGTCCTTTATGTTTCCCAGAAGAGATGCAGGTAGAACAGACAGGAATTGCACATTTATCACAGTAAAGTTCACAATGTTTCTGCATATGGTTTAGACATTTTGGGTATTTAGAAACAGAGGTTCTGTGTTTGTATGGTACAACTTTGTGTGTTTTAGATGAATCAGAGAGATGTTTTCCAACACAAACTATACAAAGATTTACATGACAAAGTTCACAATGATTCTGTAAGGCAGCTGTTTGACACAGGTCACAGAGGAGGACGTCTTGGGCACTGTAACGGGGGTCCATTACTTATGTTTTGGTCAAATGATCAGAAGACCCTGTAATTGAAAGTAAAAGAAATTTCAGATTACATGATGAAGTAAAGTCAAAGGAATTTAAAGTAATTTTAATCCAAATTAAGAGAAGTTTTTTGTTTTGTGTGTGAACTTCCGCGGAGAAATTCCAAGACATTTATGCAGCTTGGAATTAATCGCAGAGAAATATTGTTTACAGGAAAATGTGATCGGTACAACTGTTAAAATTTTTATTAGGAAGAAGATGACGTTTGCATTCATGTAATTTATATCGTATGTATGGTATAAAGTGAGTCTTTCATGTGTTAACATTTATATAAGTACACTTGAAATTATCAATGAGAGCAGGTAAAGTAATGTCTTGTAACATGCTAAATTGACTAAATATAATGCCTCACCTCGAAATCCAAAATGGCCTCCCTGATAATCCTGTACATCATAATTTACTTCCTTTGTCTTTGTTCTAAATGTTTACCCGTTACCAGGTCGTGTGATTTAAATACCTGATATACATGTTTCTTTGTCTGCTAGTGTAGAGAAGTTTAAATAGATTGAAATTGTGCATTGGGAATGACAATAATTAGACGATTATCTTAATCTGCAAATGAAGCTATATATAGGGGTTATATTATACTCGTTTGACGGTCTGTCTAACCCTTTGTATGCAATTATGCATTTATTGTTCAGAGATTGTCTTTTAACCTTTTAATTAGCTCAGTATAAGTGATTTTATTTTATAGTACTTGTACTTGTGAACCTAGTAGTTTCAGATTGGTTTGTCAAAGTTAAAAAGTTTAGAAAGTTGTGACCTATCAATTATAACTAATAACTTAAACTTTGACCAGATAAGAAGAAGTGAAATTCTGCTCTTGTAAAAACATTTTAACCAATAAAAAGTAGATTGTGACAAAAAAGTGACTTGACCCTGTACCACCAAAAGTTCATTTTGGACAAGGTCACAGGGTATATAAATATTTTTTTATGTCTCTTTTGTACATGTTGTACTCGTCAGAAATTTGAAATAAAAAGAAAATCAATAAATTCAATGGTTGAATTCCATTAAAAAAAATGTGTGCTATTAATCCTTTAACAAAGGTCAAGGTCACAGGTTTTAGAAATTAGAATTAATCTTGTAAAATCAATAAATTCAATGTTTACTTGCTAAAATCAGGATACTGGACTTGATGCAAAGGATACTTGAGACTGAAGGGTATGTAAAAATCCTGGACCATAGCCATTTAATAAGTACTGGGTCAAAGTTACAGGGTAGGTGTGAAAAAAGTTATTCATTTGTGAGGGGTAAACTATGATCATATGATATGACATGACCTACATCAAATGACATTGACAGGACAAGGTCGATGTAACAGTACTGGAGGGTGATAATATAATGTATTTTTTTTTAATTTTAGGATAATTTGATAAATATTTAAGCTAGGATTTTCAACTATCTATATCTTTAGCTGTTTGATTTATCTTAAACATTTGTAAGTATAAACTACATAGTTTTGATTATATCGCATCAGTCCACGACTGTAAGAAAAGCTCGCGTACATTTACATATATTGCTCTTTTAAAAAAATATTTCTTCTATTAACCAAAAATATTATATGGTGAGCACATAAGTCTGTAACGTGTGCCGAATACACAAATCTATTTTTAGCTCCCGATGACACACTTACAACAACACACCAGGCAAAACGAATTAAAACTTTAACAAATTTTAATGGTAAAAACAAATAATCATACTAAATTAACACATACAATTACAGTTACACACACACAAAAAGGTAAACAATAATAGCGGACAGAATTTACTCAGCTGTTAATCGAAAGGGAAGTCCTCCAGCTCCACGGACACCGATCGCTATCTACACGACAATACTTCCACGGTTAGCCAAAAGCCCAAGCCGAATTATGAAGTATGAAAAGTCCATTATTCCCGTGCCAAATGCCTAAAGTCTCTTGAATCCTGTGTCGCAGACGATCGCGTGCTGGTGTTCCTCGGCTGTATTCGCGACATCCGAGAACTTCCGAAAGGGAACGTGACGTCACACAATAAAAATAATAGCTATAGTGACGCATCTATAAATAATTTTAGAGTATCGTAACACCTCCCCCCTTAAAGAAAAGTTTGAGTATAATGAAAACTTTTACAATTACAATGAAACAATATCATAATTTCACAAAATTTACATACATTTCAAAAAACAACATTTTAATTAACCTATACTCTTGACAAAGCATCTGCAATTAAATTTTCTTTTCCCTTAATATGTTTTATGACAATGTTTTTCTCTTGTAATTCCAAACTCCATCTCATAAGCCTTTGATTCTTGTTTTTCATTTTGTGAACGAATGTGAGTGGATTGTGGTCAGTGAAAACAACAACTGGATGTACAGATGAATTCACATACACATCAAAATGTTGCAATGCTAATAACATGGACAAGCACTCTTTTTCTACAGTTGAATAATTTTTTTGACATTTGGAAAACTTTTTGGAAAAATAAGCAACAGGATGACAAACATACTTTTCATCTTCTTGTAACAAAACTGCCCCACAACCCACATCACTAGCATCAATTTGCAAACAAAATTCTTTGTCAAAATCTGGTGATGAAAGAACTGGAGAGACCATGAGAATCGTTTTGATTTGCTGGAAAGCCTGTTGGATTGATTCATCCCAAATAAATTTGCTATTCTTTTTCAAGAGACAGGTCAATGGGTTAGCAATGGTCGAAAAGTTAGGGCAAAATTTTCGATAGTACCCCGCCATTCCCAAGAATCTCATCAGTTCTTTCTTACACTGAGGTGCTGGAAAATTTACAATTGCCTCAACCTTTGCAAACACTGGTCTAACATGGCCGTTACCAACTATATGGCCTAAATATTCAACAACAGCATGGCAAAATTCTGTTTTTGTTAGGCTTACAGTCAAATTTGCCTCTGAAAGTTTAACAAATAATGTCCTGATGTGTGATAAATGCTCCTGAAAAGTGTTACTATACACTATAACATCATCAATGCATGCCTCACTTGCATCTACATCACTAAGTAAATGATTGATCATCCTTTGAAAGGTTGCAGGTACATTTTTTAACCCAAAAGGCATCGCCTTATATTGGTAGAAACCTTTTGGGGTAACGAAGGCTGAAATCTCTTTCGCTTGCTCGGTCAATGGGACCTGCAATTACATATTTGGCATGACCAATTTTATCGATGCAGTCTTCAATTCTGGGAATCGGGTAAGTGTCAGTTTTGGTAATTGTGTTGACATTGCGGAAATCAGTACAGAATCTGAACGACCCATCTGGCTTGGGAACAAGGAGACAAGGGGAGCTCCAAGGGCTGTTACTGTACTTAATGATGTCATGTTCCAACATATATGCCAGTTCTGCATGACAGTATTCTTGTTTTACAGGGTTCATTCTGTAAGGATGCTGTTTTATGGGAGATGCATCCCCAACATCTATATCATGATATACAAGATTGGTCTTTTTAGGAACATCCGGGAATAAATGTGAAAATTCTTGTATAAGAGACATAAGCTCTTCTTTTTCGTTCTCCTGCAAGTGGTTAAGTTTAGACTCTAAGTCTGACAAAACATCAGAGTTTTTCAACTTAGTAGTAGACTGATCATACTCATGTGCAAGTTGGTCTTGTTCTGGGGTAGACTTAAGGTCAGTGCTTGAAGCAGCAACTGATTCTACCTTAGGGTGATCTATGTCAGTCCGGTTATGATACTGTTTGATCATGTTGAGGTGACAGAGCTGTTTGCTCTTGCGTCGACCTGGTGTCTTAATAATGTAATTCAAGTCATTGACCTTTCGTTCAACTTCAAAGGGGCCAAAGTATTTAGCACGTAAAGGCTGACCCGGGATTGGTAGCAAGACAAGGACTTTGTCTCCTGACTGAAATGTTCTAGTTTTTGTACGTTTGTCATACCAGGTTTTCATTTTGTCTTGACTTACCTTTAGATTCTCTCTGGCTAGTGTCCAAGTCTGACTGAGCCTCTCTTTGAACTTAGCTACATAATCTAATAGATTTGTCTCGCTCTCTTCAACCAAACATTTCTCTTTCAACAATTTCAATGGTCCTCTGACAGTGTGACCATATACAAGTTCAAAGGGACTAAAACCTAGTGATTCTTGTTTTGCATCCCTAACAGCAAATAAAAGAAAGGGTATTCCCTGGTCCCACTCTTTCTCATTCGACAAACAATAGGTTCGAATCATAGTTTTCAAGGTTTGATGAAACCTCTCAAGAGCCCCCTGGGACTCTGGATGGTATGCACTGGATGTATGATGCTTAACCCCTAACTCCTGCATTACCTGTTTAAAGACCTTGGATGTGAAATTGGAACCTTGATCAGACTGTACTGACTGGGGCAAACCAGAATTGGTGAAAAACTTGGTCAAAGCATTGACAATGGTTCTAGACTTTATGTTTCGCAGTGGAATTGCTTCAGGGAAGCGTGTCGACGCACACATTATTGTCAACAAGTACTGATTTCCAGCTTTGGTTTTAGGTAAGGGACCCACACAATCTATAATGACCTTGGTAAATGGTTCATCAAAAGCAGGGATAGGCTTTAAAGCAGCAGGAGGGATTTTTTGATTAGGTTTTCCCACTACTTGGCAGACATGACATGACCTAAAATAGTCAACTATATCCCTTCTTATCTTAGGCCAGAAGAAGTGAGTCAATGCTTTATGATAGGTCTTTGTGACCCCCAAATGACCCGACATTGGTGTGTCATGAGCCAGACCTATAACTGTTCTCCGATATGCCCTAGGTACTACAATTTGATGGTGGATTTGCCACTCATCCTCTACTGAAGCATCAGGGCGACGCCATTTTCTCATGAGTACACCCTGATTCTTATAATAACAAACAGGGACCTTCTCTGCCTCCTCTGGAGACAAAGCCTGTTCCATTAGACCTTGTAATTCAACATCTGACTCTTGTTCAGATATCAACTTATCTCTAGTAAGAGGTGTGTTGTCTAACATTTCCT